TCTACTCACTCCGTTTTTGCCCCTCAAAGCATCTAAGAGAACTAGGGTTCAACTGAAACACTTTGGAAAATAACAACATAAACCACTTTGGAAACAGGAGATAATAGTAGAGGTGATTTCTGGCATTTGGTTAGGCTTGGCCAGTGGCAGGAACTGGAGAGTAGGAGGAGAGAGAGGTCAGAGGATTTTTATAGGCAGGGTGACTCACCATCCTATGGAATTTCCCTTTAGTGATTCAAAAGAAGAAGTGCATATCCTATGCCCATTTTTAATGGGGTTGTTTGTTTTTCTTGTTAATTTGTTTTAAGTTTCTTATAGATTCTGGATATTAGACTTATCAGATGAATAGCTTGTATATATTTTCTCCCATTCTATAGGTTGTCTGTTTACTCTGTTGATAGTTTCCTTTGCTGTAAAAAAAGCCCTTTTGTTCAACTAGGTCCTATTTGTAAAGTTTTGTTTTTGTTGCAGTTCTCAAAAGAAGACATACAAGCAGCTGACAAGCATATGAAAAAATGCTCAACATCACCAATCATTAGAGAAATACAAATCCACAATGAGATCCCATCTCACACCAGTCAGAATGACTCTTATTAAAAGGTGAAAAAATAACATGCTGGTCAGGTTTGCAGAAAAAAATGACCACCTATACACTCCTGATGAAAATGTAAAATAGTTCAGCCACTGTGGAAAGTGGTTTCAAAATTTCTCAAAGAACTTAAAAAAAGAACTACCATTTGATGCAGGAATCCCATTACTGCGTATAAACTCTCCAAAATATAAATTGCTCTACCATAAAGATGCATACATGAATATGCTTATTGCAGAACTATTCACAACAGCAAACACATGGAATCATCAGTGCCTATCAACAGTGGGCTGGATAAAGAAAATGTGGTACATACACACCATGAAATGTCACAAAACCATAAAAAAGAATGAGATCATGTTCTTTATAGCAACATGGATGAAGCTGAAAGCCATTATCCTAAGCGAACTAACATAGAAACAGAAAATAATATACCACTTGTTCTTACTTAGAAGTAGGAGCTAGACAATGGGTACACATAGAAATAAAAAAAAATAGACATTAGGGCCTACTTGAGGGTGGAGGGTGGAAAAAGTGTAAGGATAAAAAAACTACCTATTGTACATTATGCTTATTACCTGGGTGATGAAAAAATCTGTACACCAAACCTTCACAACATTCAATTTACTCATATAACAAACCTGCACATGCACTTCCTGAACCGAAAATAAAAGTTGAAAAGAAAAATAAAACAATAAGTAAACTCAGAGAAGTGAGTCCAGAATTTGTGATGCTTTTATTAAAGAGCATTTTCTGATTCTGGTAGATGTACCGTGGTATCTAATTGTGGTTTTAATTTTCATTTTCTTAATAACTATTAAGGTTAAATAAAAGATATTTTCAAATATTCAAATACTTCAAAAATATGTATTAAAATATAATCTAAAACTCTGTGGGTAGTGAATTTTTACTTTATATATTTAGAGGGTCTATCATTAAATACATGTACACTTAAAATGATTATATCTTCCTGAAAATTAACTATTTTTATAATTAAGAAATAATTCTTGTATTCATCAGTAACATTTTTTGCTCTTCAGCTTTGATAAGTTTTTATCAAACTTCAGCTTTGATAAGTTTTTTGATTTGGGGTTTGCTTGATATATTGTTTCTCATCCTTTAACTTTATACTTTTTGTATGCATTAAAATATACTTCTTTCATATAGTAAGTAGTACAGTTTTGAGTTTTTAAGATTTTGTCTGAAATATTTGTACTTTATTACATATAGATATTCATATAGTTGGGATTAAATTTACCATCACACTATTGACTTTCCTCGAGGAAATAAAAGTTCTAATTCTTATTGAAAATTGATAAATGAAATGCACATGCTTTAAGATTACAAGAAAACACATAGTAAAAGACTTTATAACTATTAAATTAATTTGAGGGAGAAATAATGCAATAAAGGGGAGATACGGGTATACAGAACCATTGACCAAAAATAGAAACCATTTTTTGTTTGCTCATTTGTTTGTTGTATTTGGTTTTTCTATTTTACGTTACTGGTTTCCTTAAAAATTCAGTGTCCATTTACACTTTCATTTGGTAATTTCTCTTATCATATCAGGGAATGCAGGTTCTGCTTCCATAGCCTACATCTTGTGACTGAGGGACAGGAGTGGGCATGAAGCCAGGTTATACATACAGATAATGACTGTGATGTAGGTGGAAGAAAGACCCCTGCTTCTCCAGACTAAGGTGACCTCTCTGTCTCCATGATCAGAATCCCAGCTCCAGAGAGTGAACTTGGGACTTTCATTTAGGGATCAATTTCATAATAATTTTCTCTGCTTTTTTCTTTTTCTTTATACCATGTTAATTGAAGTTTAGATGTTGTTCTTGTCTCTTTCCTGTTTTTTTATGCAGAACTGGCACTCACATTCTGTATACTTATCTAGAGAAGAACCATAATTTTGCTCATAAAAGCGTTCTCATATTTTATTTTGGGAATAAACAGCTTGTTATGTGATGCTGTGTGAGAGAAAGAGGAACAATTGACCCAGCTTTTCCAATATGATTTTAAAAAGCAACTACCTTAACAACTGCTTTGGGTTCCAACCTACTCCCCTGCTTCTTGTAGTTTTGACACTGAACTTGAGCTCTTTCTGATTTGCTCTTATTTCTATAGTAGTTAGTTTTGTTTGATGTTTACTTATAGGTGGAGTGATTTTATAAGATATATGTTTCTCTGTCAAGTTTCATGTTACTGTTCTCTTGAAATTGTTGCCTGCTAATAAGCTAATAATGTCTCATTTCACACCACATGGAGTGGGAGGAGACATTGATGCTTGTCCTTAGTGCAGAATTTCAAGCTCTCTTGTATCCTTGTCTTCTGCAAAACCACATTTTCGAGTTTTCCTGCTACCTTCCTTACTCTCTTTTTCATAATCCTCTGGGAACTCTTATTTCTGATTACACTGGTTCTATCCTCTAGCAAAAAAGGGTTTGACATTTTCTGCCTCCACCCACAAGCCTGGGTGACCTCATCCCTCTGGGTGAAGAGTGGTTGAGTTTACCTCTACAGCCATGATCTTATTCCCTAACTTCCACCAGTTATCCACTTCTTGTCAACTTTATTTGAAGGTCTCTACACAACTCTGATTAAATATGTTCAAAATTTTACTCTTTGTTCCTGCAGTTCCATCCCAGTCCATGTCTATTGCCTTACTGAATGGCTGTATCACTCATTTAGTTTCCTAACCCAGAATCTGAGTGTCATCCTTTCCTGTTTTCTCTCCTGATTTACACATTAATTCTACCAACAAATACTGTCATTTCTCTTTTCTAAACATCTTTCAAATCCATTCATTCTCTCTAACTTCACTAGCATCACAGGTAGTTCAGGTAACCATCATCCCTTCCCTAGAGAACTGCCTCTTCCTTGAGCCTTTCTGATTTTATTATTATTTATTCCTGTTGTTTCTTTACATGAAATCAGGACAGTATTTCTGAAATACAATCTATTTTAATTCTGATAATTATAATTTTAGATTATAGGCCACATCGTTTTTGGAATAGAGCAAAACTGGATTTCAATCTCATCCATGCCAGCAATAGGACTATCTCTGATTTTTCAGTTTCTTCTTCTGAAAAATATCATGTTACCTTTCTTCATTCTCCGTCCATTAGTGTATCTTTTGGTCATTCATCAGGTCTCCAATTAGATGTCCCCTTATCTAGGACGTCTCCTCTCCCTACCCAATGTTGGGTTCATTGATCCTCCCATGAGCTCTCTTACGAAACCCTACTTTACCTTGCAGATCACTGATTATAATTGGTTGTAACGATTTATTTACTCATCTGTATTGCCACTTTACCTTGCAGATAACTGATTATAATGGGTTGTAGTGATTTATTTACTGGTCTGTTTTTCCAAGTAGTCTATAAACTCCTTGACTGAAAGTTACTTTTTTGCCATTTTATCAGAAGCACATGGCACACTGTTTGGCTTATAGTAGTTTTTCTTTTTTTTTTTTGAGATGGAATTTTGCTCTCATCCAGGCTGGAGTGCAGTGGCATGATCTCGGCTCTGCCTCCTGGGTTCAAGCAATTCTCCTGCCTCAGTCTCCCAAGTAATTTTGTATTTTTAGTAGAGACAGGGTTTCTCCATGTTGGTCGGGCTGGTATCGAACTCCCGACCTCAGGTGATCTGCCTGCCTCGGCCTCCATAAGTGCTGGGATTACAGGCATGAGCCACCACGTCTTTAGTAGTTTTTCTAAAGAAAATACTTAATGAATGAAAACTGCCCACCACTTTGCTCTCCTCCTCCATGTAAAGTAGGCATTATTTTATCTTACAAGTGAATCTTAGGTTCAGGGTAGTAACAAGGTCATGCAATAAATGATTGCCATTGGTTTTATCTTACTCAAAGACCAGCTTGTTTTATGATACCAGCTGCTTCCTTCACTTAGAAAGGTGTTGTTTTATTGCCATACGACCAGCTTGTTGCTATTTTATGGCCACTCATGATGAATCTCTAAAGGTGGGATTTCATGTAAACAAAACATTTAAGTTGTGTATATTAAGGTTGATGCAAAGGTAATTGTGATTTTGGCCATGAAATAATGGCCAAAACCACAATTACTTTTGCACCAGCCTAATAAAATAGTAGCTCTCCAGAAAGACAAGAGTACTGTGGAAATATGCGAAACTGTGAAGGGGGGCATTTACAAAATACCATTTACTTAGCTTGTGCATATAATGACCTTTGAGCAGAGGCTGGCATACAGTAAGTCCTCCACCACTGATATCCACAGTAATTAGCACTATTATTTTCATAGGAAAGACTATATCAGGCAGTCACTGCTTTTTCAGCAAATTTCAAAATAGACATCCACACCCATATTGGGAACACAAAATCAGTTAATGCTTCCGATATAAAAGGGGAACTAGTTGCGCTTCTCAGAAATTCTCAACACAGCCTTTAAGTTTCCAAACATCTGCTAGAAGAGGAATGCAGATTTAAACTGAGTGAGGTGTGGAGTGGGGGAAGTTCACGGGGCCTAGACTAAAGAACTCTGTGGAACTTGCCCAGACCACTGCACGCATCAGACCTACGGTGAATATTGCAGGCCTGAAGAAAGGTAGGTCCAGGGACTTGCCTTCCTAGACTTTTGGGCTGATGGTTTATTTCCTGGGTTTAGGATTTCTGGGAGCGGAGTGAGAAAAAAATGAGGCCACTTCCCATGACGCAAGCTGGTATTCAGGATTGGGGTGGGCTGAGTGCACCTTTAAATGTGCATTTGGTGGGGGGATGAGGAACAGTCCTTGCTACAGTCAATGAGAGTTAGAAAAGTGTCCTAAACACTGAATTTGGAGGCTGGATGAAGTTGTTTTACTTACTTTTGTTCCCCAAGTCCTCAGAATATCAAAACACAGAAAGCAGTATTTTAAACTTCTGACTAATTACCTTATCTACTGTTAATGTCCTTCTTCCACTCTCTTTATTCTGTCCCTGACTGGTTATTTTTATCATTTAAGATTTAAGAAAATATCTGCCATGTGCAGAATTTGGTGTACATGGAGCAGGGCACCGGCAGGGTCCCCAGCCTTGTACATTGGGCTGTGGCTTTATCTAGTTCTCCAGTGGTCTCTGGCACTATTCATGGGGCACCCAGGCAGTAAACTGAGGCTGCTCATGAGAAAATTTGCTAATGAAAAACACCTTGCCGACTTTTAGCATTCTTGGGATAAGAAACAAGTTTGTATATAGTTATAGCCATTGTAATCTTTCCCCAGATGAAGTAAATGAAACCCAGAAAAAGGAAATAATGGACCCAGAATCACACAAGTTAATAAATGTGCTGGGAGCAAAAAACCCAGAATTCTTGTTTCCCAGTCCAGGCCTTTTCCCTCTCTGTGCCAGAATTTCTGCATCCCCATCATCCTCCCAAAAACCATCCAGGTTCAGGCCTCATTTTGAGTTTCTAGTCTATTTAATAACTTTACCAAGACACACAAAAAAAGATGGCCATTTGTTCCACTCTTCTCATGTTCTCTTTTTGCAACTGTGACCCATGATGGGGGTGGTGACATAAAAATGAGAAAACAAGAGACTGGTGGTGCTGCTGATCCACAAGGAGACTGGAGCAAATAGAAGAGGGAAAGGTGGTCTAGGTCCCCTCACCTCTTTATCTGGTGGGGGTTGGGGCAAGACATTGTTATTGTCAAGAGCCTGACGCATACAGGTGATGTGACAAAACCAAGGTTTAGATTCTTCTCATACCCAGAAGAAATGTCCCTCATATGTATCCAATATTCTCAGCAGTTTAAAAAAATTTTTTGAATATAGAGATGTCGAGCCCTAGATGGTTAGCACATGTTTTTGTCCTTGGGGACTTTATCTGCCATAAATAACTAACACATGGATTTGAATTTCTGTGGTGTAAAAATAGGAAGCAGTTATATGAGTTTATGGCCAGAGTTTCTTAGAATGACAAAGCACCAGCCTTGAATGACCAGAGCTGACCTATGTCACCAAAGAATCATGGAAAAGCTTAAGAGTCAGTTATAAGCTTTATTTTGATATAATGGCTCTGCCCTCAGGAAGCTTACAGTCTTAACAGAGAGACACTAAACACAGAGGGAGAACCGCCAGTGTATTTGATAAGACAGACCCAACCTTTCCTAAATTCTCAGTCTGAAGGTGTGTCTAAGAGATTGAGACACAGGTTCCTTTACATTAAAGAAGAATAAAGTACACATTTAGATGGACTAAGAAGAATCATCTTTAGTTACTTTCCAAATAACTTTGACTTCTGTGATGTAAAAGGGAAATAACATAGATTGCTTAAACCCTTAGTTACCATCATAGGTTGATTAATCCACGTGTGGGCAATGGTGGGGAAGGGGGAGAATAGTGTCTGAGACAAGACAGAGACCATGCAATGATGTTAGTGTGTGAGAAGATTAGATGATGTGGTGGGTTTGTTTTTGTTCTTACAAGGTGGCCACAGGGAGGGGTGGAACATTCCTGCAAATGGGTTCAATATATGCAAATATCTCAATATAGAAATAAAATTACCTCTTTGGAACAACTTAAGTAAGTCAGATATACTTGGGACTTTAAAACTGAAAAGGAGAGACATTCAAGTTAAGTCTATGACAATAGATTTCTGCTGAAGTAGCAGAGTTTTTATCAACATTAAAAATTTTAACTTTATGCTAAGGGTGATGAAATGCAAAGGAAGGCTTTTAAAGGGCAGGGTAGCACAATTGTTTTTGTATTTGATCATTCTGGTTGCAAAGTTAGTGGTAGATTGACTACCGAAAGCCACAGACACAGGGAACATTCAGAGGCTATAACAAATACTTCTGACAAATATAGGATAATGGCTTGCCTTGAGAAGATGGGAGAAATACGCAGAGAGAAATACACAGAAATACATTGAAAAATGGTTCTGTAGGATTAGAATGAGATTGATTTGAGCATAGAGGGTAGACAATAGAAGGCATCAATGACAAACTACCAGATATTTTGAAGCAGAGTCACTGTGTTGCCCAGGCTGGAGTATACAGGTGCCATCATGGCTTACTGCAGCCTCCACCTCAGCCTCCTGAGTAGCTGGGATTACAGGCACCCATCATCACATTCAGCTCTTTTTGTATTTTGTGTAAAGATGGGGTTTCACCATGTTCCCCAGTCCGATCTCGAACTTTTGGGCTCCAGAGATCCTCCCACCTTGGCCTCTCAAAGTGAGCCACAATGCCCAACTTTAAGGTTCCAGATCTTTAACATGGACAATGAAGTTAATTTCTGGGCCTTCCACCAAAAAAGGACATTTGCAGTCCCATAAGCCTCTTAGGGTTCCTGTTACATTTAACTCTTGCCACTCTTGACTAGGGACTACTTATAGGGCTCTGAAATAATCTCCACTTACTATTCCTTTCACCACCTTATTATTTTGGAAGTAAAATTTTGAGGAAGACTGGATATCTTCTATTTAGGTCTTCTAAGCTTTGAAATAAAAATTACCTCTTCTCTCTTCTGGAACAAGTAGGTAAATTGTCAATCTATGGGCTTTATTATAATGATTTTAAGTTAAGCCCAGAGAGGGACAATTCCCCCAAGTGTAATAAAATTTGAGGATGTGGATTCAACGTAAGACCAAAAATAAGACCTCCTATGTTATTGTAGCCATTTGCTCCAAATCTAAATTTTGTGTTCTGCCCAGGGGATGCTAAGGTGTACATATAGGTCTAAATATACCTACTCCATAGCATGTAAATGTACCCACCTCACAAATTCCATTATCATTGGAACAGAGACTGAAAGAGGAAAAGGAGCGCCTCTTGGCCCACCTCTACATAGTCTTGTATCTAACTTATTCCAAATTGGGTGGTTTCCACCTTTTGGCTATTATAGATAATACTGCTAAGAAAATTCACTGTACAAATTTTTGTGCAAACAAAAGAGATCTTCTATTCACCAGACTAGTGTAGTGGATCCTCTTAAGCAAAGGAGTTCTGGAATTCCATCACCTGGATTTAAATTTTGGCTCTGCCTCTCTTTACTCAAGTTACTTAATCTTCTGTTTCTGTAATTCTGTCCTGTGAATAATAGAGTATATCTCTTAGGGGAATTTAATGATGAAATAACACATATAAAACATTTAAACCAGTGCATATTATTTAATAAATGCTAAGTACATATTAAATACTTTTATTGGTGTTCCTACTATGACTCATTTTTGGCTTGAAGTATAAAACATAAACTTCCTCTAACACTTCCTACCACTCAACGAAATGCTGGCGAGGACTTTATTTCTAGCATGCCCCTGCTTCAACCTGTTCCGTTCTTGGGATAAGTGGAAAAGCAGAGGAGAGAGGTCTATATAATTGGTGACAGCATGTTATTCGTGATGTCATGTTGTCAGAGGCTGACTCTTCCTCTTTTTTGCAGTTTGTCTCAAAGATTGGTCAGGAGAGTCAGGATTGTCCTCTTTTTTTGCTATCATGGAATAAGTTAGATACAAGACTATGCAGAGGTGGGGCAAGAGGCCCTCCTCTTCCTCTTGCAGTCTCTGTTCCAATGATAATGGAGTTTATGAGGTGGGTTACATTTACATGCTATTGAGTAAATATATTCAGACATATATGCACACTTTAGCAACCCCCGAGCAGAACACAAAATTTAGATATGGAGCAAAGGGATAAAAAGAGGACTTATTTTTGGTCTTAAATTTAATTCATACTCTCAAATTTTGTTAAACTTGGGAGAATTGTCCCCCTCTGGGCTTAAAGTCATTATGAAAAAGCCCATAAATTGACAATTTACTGACTGTCCCAGAAGGGAGAAGAGGTAATTTTTATTTCAAACATTAGAAGATCTAAATAGAAGATATCCAGTATTCCTCAAAAGTTCTCTTTCAAAAAAGTAAGGTGGTGCAAGAATAGTATGTGGAAATTATTTCAGAACCCTACAAGCAGTCCCTAAATTTTTGATATTTTTTTTTCTGCTACTGTAAAAGACCATTGAAAACTGGGCAACTTATTTTAAAATTTTATTTGGCTTATAATTCTAGAGGCTGGGAAGTCTAAGGCAATGCATGGTGTGAACCTCCGGTGAAGGTAATCCCATGAAGGAAGGTGGAAGTGAGCACACAAAGCAGAGAGGGAGATGTGACCAAATTTATCATTTTATCAGGAATCCACTCCTGTGATAACTAACCATATCCAATGATGAGGACATTCATCCATTCATGTGGGTAGAGGTCTCCTGATGTAATTACCTCTTGAAGGTCCCACCCTTTAATACTGTTACAATGGCAATTAAGTTTTCACCTGAGTTTTAGAGGGGACATTGAAACCATAGCATTTCATCCACAGCCCTCCCAAACTCAAGGTCTTCTCACGTATAAAACACAATAATTCTATCTCAATAGCTGCACAATTTTTACCCATTCCAGCATCAACTCTAACATTCTAAGTCTACAGTCACATCAGAAGCAGATATGGATGAGACTTGACATAGGGTTTATCTGGAGGCAAATGTTTCCAGCTGTGAGACTGTGAAATCAAAACAAGTGATTTGTTTTCAAAATATAATGGTGGGACAGGTACAGAATAGACTCAGTTCAAAAGAAAGAACTAGGCAAGAAAAAGGCCTAACTGGTTTCAAGTGAGTCCAAAACCCAGCCGAGAAAACAGCATTAAGCTTTAAATCTGGAGAATAATTTCCTTTGACTCCATGTCCTGAATCCTGGGGACACTGATTGGGGACCCTCAGACAGCCCTAGACCCATATCTTTGCTGGACTCAGTCTGTGCTTCAGCTCTGTTAGGTTGGAGTTGTGTGCTAGTGGTCCTGTAGTTCTGAGATCTCAAAGGTAGCCTCACTCCCATGGCTCCGCTAGGCATATCCCTAACTGGGACTCTCGGTGTTGGCTCTGACCCCATATTCTCACTCAGCATTGCCCTGATAGAGGCTCTTTGAAGTGGCTGCACTCCCAGAGCTATTTGTGATATCGTTTGAAATTAGGTGGGGAAAGCCATGCCCCTATAGCTCTTGCAGTCTGTGAGCCTGTAGAGTTAACACCACATGGTTGCCATCGAGGTTGACAGCTTGTACATTTTAGGCACAAGTATTATAGTGGCTGTGGAGCTGGGGTCCTAGGCTCAGGGTCTTGCAAAACTACTGTGGCACAAGTTCACTCACCGAGACATGGCTGGATGCAGATTACCCACAACGATGAGGCTGTGACTCTGAGGCATACCTCAGTAACTCAAGCCCATAGGGCAGGGATGGAATAGTTACTGATTCTGGGGTCAGAGTACACCACCAGCATTGCTCCAGGGAAAGAGGGGTGCTTTGGAGGCTTGAGCTCTGTGGAGCAAGTTACAGTTGAAATTTGGTTCCAGAGCCAATCGGACACAGCAGCAATTCCAACTCTGGGGGATGGAATGCCACAGAGTGGGAACTCTAAACCCTGGGATAGGAGGGCATGGCGATATTCCAGGCTCTGTAAGGCTGAATGTAGCAGCAGCAAGGCCTGAGGAATGACTAGGGCTGTCTGTGGCTTGGTCCTCAGGTTTCTTGAAGCAATGCAGAAATGACCCCCTGCGGAGCCAGGGTTTCTCAGAAGCTTGGACTCCAAGGGACTAGTTAGTTCCAGGGAGGTGGGGCCACTGCAGCTATTTTGCCTGGATGTTTGGATGACAGCTCAATCAAAGCTATCTGTCCCCAGAGAGTGGTACACAGAATCAGCTTGAGTTTGGAGGGCCAGGGTGCACCAGCGACTAAGATCGGGACATGGAGCAGTTCCATGGCAGCCTGGCCTTAGAAGGTAGAGGGTAGATGGCAGCAGTTTGACTCAGGTATGGCTACCAGGTATGCGTGTTATAGTGGTGGTTAAGCCTCAGAGATGGAGGGGTGCAGTGGCTACTCTTGAAGCAGAATGCACTCTAGCAGTGATTCAGTTCCAAGAAGGGGCAGCACAGTAGCAGCTCAGGTCATGGAGGCCAGGGCAAAGTGTCAGCACCTCTTCTGAGATAGGACAGACATGTGGACTTTAGGTAGCTCTTTCAGCAGAGCTCAGAGCCTGTGAAGACTCTGAATGTCTCCAGTAGTAAGACTGCAGGTGTCCATGGTGGTGATGGGAGCTGCTGAGTCCTCTCACTTACCTATTCCCTGCAGAAAGAAGGACCTGCTGAACCAGAACTGGTCCTAACTGGGGGCAGAGGTGGTGTAAGAAATATGCTTTCTCTCCTTCTTCATGCAGCCATCCTGGGTTTCAGTGCTCCACAAGATTTCTGCTACTCCTTTGCTGTTTTCTGGTGCTCTTCTTCAGTTATTTTGGTTGGAACATAGTTTATTCATTTTTTGATTCTCTCTCTTTCTCTTTCTCTCTCTCTCGCTCTCTCTCTCTGTGTGTGTGTGTGTGTGTGTGTGTGTGTGTGTGTGTGTGTGTGTGTTGATGGTGATGAGGGTTAGTAATTTCTAGTTGGCTATCTTGGTGACATTCTCTGGAATCCTAATCAGACATATTCTAGACCTTTTAATTCTACACTTCTAATATTTTAACTCTCTTCTATTATGACCATTTTCTTGTTTCTCTATAGAACTCTTGGTGTTTTCTTAAAATTTTTCTTCCAGTTGACTAATTCTATTTTCAGCTATTCCTTGTTATTTAACACATTGGCCAATTTTTTTCGCCAACATTATATTTGAAATTTGTTTGAGACCATGTTGCAAATATGTCCTCTCACTCTATGCACTTTATCTTTGACTTTTCATTGTTTTGATTTCATTTTTATTTGAATAAGTTATCCATACTCTTTACATATTCTCTCTCTCTATATATACACACACATAGATGCTCCTAATCTGTGGGACTTCTTGGAAGGTTGTATCAAGGATATCTACTTCCTTCTTTACAGAATCCAATGTAAGACTTATTTGGAGCCTGATTGCTTTCTAAACATGCGGCTTTTCAGTGTAATTTCTCCTTTACTACTGACTTTGATGATTCTCAGAACTATACTTTTCCAGGGAAGTGATAGTTATCAACTTACATATTTAATTCTCAGGATTATAAACAATAACTTGTGTTGTATACCTCAGGGAGCCTCTCATCTTTGATAAGTATACTCCAAAATCTCTGGCCATGGTGTCCTGTTTCTTTCATACTCTCTCTACACTTTCCCCCAAATTTATCCTCATGTAATCTTTGTTTTTAACACTCATTTTATCTGATTTATAGAAATGTTAGCTGTTTCCCACTTTCATAACAAAATGGAGTTCTAATTCTGTTTGTCCAAGTTGTTTTCTGAACTTTTCTAAAAGTGATAAGAACATTAACTTTTTGGTTACATTCTTATATTTAATGCCTTAACTACTTAAGTCATATTTACATTTTTTATTTTACATATTTGTCTTTTTTTTTAATTATTGCATTTGGGCTCTAGGATACCTGTGCACATCCTGCATCCTGCAGGATTGTTGCATAGGTACATACATGCCATAGTGGTTTGCTATCTCCATCCCCGCCCCTGCCCCCGTCACCTATGTCAGGCATTTCTCCCAGTGTTATCCCTCCCCATCCTCCCCCCACATTGTCCCTCCTCTCCCCTTTCCTCTCCACCTCCACTTAGCCCTGTGAGTGTTGTTACCTTCCCTGTGCCCAAGTGTTCTCGTTGTTCATTGCCCGCCTATGAGTGAAAACATGTGGTGTTTGATTTTCTGTTCTTGTGTCAGTTTGCTGAGAGTGATGGTTCCCAGATTCATCCATGTCTCTACAAAGGACATGAACTCATCATTTTTTATGGCTGCATAGTATTCTGTGGTGTATATATGCCACATTTCTTTTGTCCAGTCTATCATCGATGGGCATTTTGGGTTGGTTCCAGGTCTTTACTATCATAAACAGTGCCACAATGAACATATGTGTGCATGTGTCTTTATGCTAGAACAATTTATAATCCTTTGGGTATATACCCAGTAATGGGATTGCTGGGTCAAATGGAATTTCTATTTCTAGATCCTTGAGGAATCACCACACTGTCTTCCATAATGGTTGAACTAATTTACACTCCCACCAACAGTGTAAAAGTGTTCCTGTTTCTCCACATCCCCTCCAGCATCTGTTGTCTCATTTTAACTTTCCTTTCTCTGAAGTTCACCCTCCTCCTTCTCACTTTAATCAGTTTTATTGTTAGATAGCTAATATTGTTAGATAGCTAATAATTCCATTGATGTATCAAAAACAAATATAGGATGATAATTCTTTCAAATAAATCCTAATTTTTTCTCAACATAGCAAATTTGAAGTACAATAACACTTTTTTTTTTTCATTTATGTTACCAATAAAAGGGCAGACATCTCCAAACTTGAGACTTTTATAGGGTTTCAATGGAGCATAAATAGTATCAAAATTAACTATTACTTGAAGGACATTAGAAAGCTTCACTTCCCTAAGAATTTATGGAAGTAGGTAATGAAACACCTCAATAATATTTTCAGCCCTGTGAATTTAATTGTGCTCTGATTAGAAAAGGGGGAACCATACAATACTATACAATAAATTGGAAGACAGATGATTTTGTGTAGCTTATTACTATAATAAAAGTAATCCTTCATGGGGAAGTGGCTATAATCAAGGGACTAGGCAGTAAGAGGGATAGAAATCAAATCTGAGCAGATTTGGAATTTGAACTTAAAGAAATATCTCTAATTTAAAGGTCCAACATATTTACCTTGCGTCTGTCAACATGTCTCTCTTCAGGACTTTCTAACACCTTGATATCATATGACATGTAGCTTCTCCCTCTCTCCCTCAACCCTTAATGTGTTGCCTATTCCACTTCCCAGGCGCTAACAGCTATTATGATATAGGAGGGGAATGTAGACCAGATTTTGTCCTCAGGGAGGAACCTGCCCCAAGTGTCATGTCCTTCCTTTGTCATTTCCAGGACCTCATGCTAAATCACATTTCTTTCTTATTGTAGCACCTTTTCTACTGCCATGACAACCATGCAAGGAATGGAACAAGCCATGCCAGAGGTTGGCCGAGGTGTGCCCCAGCTGGGAAATGTGGCTGTCGTACATTCGTATCTGTGGAAAGGGTTGCAAGAGAAGTTTTTGAAGGGGGAACCCAAAGTCCTTGGGGTAAGTCACTTGCAAATCTAGGAGAAGACCACTGGTGTTGCAAACTCGTATTTCATAAGACCTAATGCCAAATACACTGTCCTACCAGCCTCAGAAGACAACAGCCAGCCCTCTAAACATCAGTATTTACTGTTCAGGCCCTTCATCTGAAAAACTATATTCTATCACAACATGCTTCCCATTGAGTTATATTAGAAATATATTGGCTTCAGATCTATTCTAGGGTTGTGGGTCATCCATGATAATTGCATTTAAACTCAGCATGGAAGAGCAGCAAAAGAAAAGGCCACCTAGGCACTACTAGCTGACACTCCCTTCACAGGCCTTCCTGATAGCTGAACAGACACATATTGCTACTATTTCTTTCTGGCACCTTTTCTTAGCCTGCTGACTGCTCAGAGAATGAAAAAATCTATTTTCTGAGCATTTCTATCTGGAGTCTCAGGTGAACATGCCTAAAAGAAATAAAGGATTAAAAAAATGACAGAATAGGGCAGATAAAAGGATATTAAATATAGGTTTATCACTAGCCCAATCTTCAAACCACTGGAAAAATGTCATTGTGAACATTTTGGATCCTTTTTTCACATTATTTTTTGGGGAGGATATAGTTATTTTTCATAAAATATGTTACTTATGTTGGCACATACTAGGTTTATTTTTTAATGTATGAATAATTATTTTAAAATATTGCTCTATGTTTTAGAGCAATTTTAGCCTTAAAGAAAAATTGAGAGCAAAGTACAGGTGTATCCCATCTGCCCCTTGCCCTCACACATGCATAGCTTTTTAATTATCAACCTCCCCACCAGAGTGGTACCTTTGTCCCAATTGATGGACCTGCACTGACACATCATTCCTCAAAGTACATGAATCACAGTGGGGTTCATTCTCTGTGTTGTGTGTTCTATGGGTTTTAACAAGGGTATAGTGATATATATCTACCTTTATAGTACCATACAAAGTAGTTTCACTGCCGTAAACATTCTCTGTGCTCTGCCTATTCATCCTTTCCTCCCACCATTCTCTGGCAACCTCTAATCTTTTATTGTCTTCATAGATTGTTTGCCTTTTCCAGAAAGTCATACACTTGGAATTGTACAATAGGTAGGTTTTTTTAGATTGTGTTCTGTCACCTAATATGCATTTAAATTTCCTCCTGTTTTCATATGGCTTGTAGCTCATTTATTTTTAGTACTGAATAATATTCCATTGTCTAGATGTACCACAGTTTATGCATTCACCTACTGAAGGACATCTTGATGGCTTCCAAACTTTGGCAACTATGAGTAAGGTTGCTATAAATATCCATGTGCACATTATGTGTGGACATAAGTTTTCAACTCATTTGGGTAAGTATGATTGTTATATTGTAGGTAAGAGTATGTTCAGTTTTGCAAGAAACTGCCATACTGTCTTCCATGTGACTTTGTCAATTTGAAGAATTTCAACCAACAGTGAATCAGTTCCTGTTGTTTCATGTAATCTCCGGCAATTGGTAGCGTCAGTGTTCTGGATTTTTACCATTCTAACAGGTGCTAGTGGACTCTCATCATTTTAATTTACATTTCTCTTGTGACACAAGATGTGGTGCATCTTTTCATGCATTTCTTTACCATCTCTATATCTTCTTTTGTAAGGTGTTTTCTTAAATTCTTTGGCACAGTTTTAAAAGAGGACGTTTATGTTCTTATTGTTGAGTTTTAAGTTTGTTGCGTATTTTCGATAACGATCCTTTGATATTTTCTCCCAGTCTGTGGTTTGTCTTTTCATCTCTTGACAATCTCTTCTGCAGAGCAGAATTTTTAATTTTATGAAAATTAAGATGATTAATTTTGTAATTCATGGGTTGTGCCTTTGGTACTTTATTGACAAATTCATCACCAAACCCAAGATCATCTAGATTTTGGCCTATGTTACCTGTTAGGAGTTTTATAGTTTTTAGTTTAACATTTGTGTCTGTGATTCATATTGAGTTAATTTTTGTGAAGGATATAAGGTATGTGTCTAAGTTTTATTTTTACTTATGGATATCAAGTTTTTTAAGTACTTTTTTTTTTTTTTGAGATGGAGTCTCACTTTTGTTGCCCTGGCTAAAGTGCAATGGCCTAAGCTCAGCTCACTGCAACCTCCGCCTCTCAGGTACAAGTGATTCTTTTGTCTCAGCCTCCCAAGTAGCTCAGAATACAGATATATGTCACCATGCCAAGTTATTTGTGTTACCATGCCAAGCTATTTTTTTTTAATTTGTATTTAGTAGATATGGGTTTCATCATGTTAGGCTGGTTGTGAACTCCTGACCTCAGGTGATCCACCCCCCTTGGCCTCCCAAAGTGCTGGGATTACAGGCATGTGCCAATGCACCTGGCCTAGTGCTATTTTTAAAAAGGCTGTCTTTTTTTTCTTATTGTATTACCTTAGTTCACTGCCAAAGATCACTTGACTATATTTGTGTGACTATCTCTAGGCTTTCTATTCTATTCCATTGATCTGTTTGTCTATTTCTTTGCTAATACTGCACAGTCCTGATTACTATTACTTTATAGTATGTCCTAAAATTGGGTAGTGTTGGTCCTACAACTCCTTCATTCTTCTTCAATATTGTGTTTGCTATTCTAAGTCTTTTCCCTTTCCCTATAAATTTTTGAGTCTGTTTATCAATATACACAAAATAACTTGCTGAGATTTTAATGGAGATTGCATTAAATCTACTAATCAAGTTGGGAAGAACTGACATCTTGACAATGTTTTGTCTTCCTATCCATGGACATGGAATATCTCTCCCTTTATTTACTTGTTTAATTTATTTTATCAAAGCTAGTAGTTTCTTATAGATTTTGTACATTTTTTTTAGATTTATACCTAACAAATACCAAATACCAATACCTAAATATTTCACTTTTAGGGGTGCTAATTTAAATGGTACTATGTTTTTAATTTCAAATTTTACTTATTGATCATAGTATATAATAAAGTAATTGACTCACGTATTAACCTTGTATCCTACAAACCTAATAAAATTTTTTGTTAGTTCCAGGATTCTCCACTAAGTGTGAAGTTAGCTGTAGGCTTTTAATAAATATTCTTTATCAGCCCGAAGAAGTTCTCCTCTATAATAGTTTTTCAAGAGTTTTTATAATAAACAGGCATTGGATTTTTTTCAATATTTTTTCTGCATCTGTTAATATAATCATTTGATTTTTCTTCTTTAGCCTGTTGATGTCATGAATTGCATTAATCAATTTTTTAATGTCTAGTCAGTTTTGCATGCCTGGGATAAATCCCATGTAGTCATGGTACATAATTTTTTAAATACATTGTTAGATTTCATTTGCAAATGTTTGTAGATGATTTTTACACCTTTGTTCATCATAGATGTTGATCAGTAGTTTTCTTTTCTTGTAGTATTTTTTCATGGTTTTTGGTAGATGATTGTGTTAGCTCCATAGAATGAGTTAGGGGTATTTCCTCTGTTTCTACTTTCTGTTAATAATTGGAATAATTTCTTTCTTAAGTGTTTGGTAGAATTCACCACTGAGCCTTTCTAGGTCTGATGCTTTCTGTTTTGGAAATGTATTAATTATTGATTCAATTTATTTAATAATTATAGGCATATTCAGAGTGTCTATTTCTTCTTGTGTGAGTTTTGACAAACTGTCTTTAAGGAGTTATCCATTTTATCAACGCTATCAAACTGTGGGCATAGAATTGTTCATAGCATCATTTTATTATCCTTTTAATTTCTGTGGGAATTGTAGTGATGTTCCTTCTTTCATCTATATTAGTAATTTGTGTCCTCTCTCTTTTTCTTAGCCTGGCTAGAAGCTTTATTTTATTTATATATATATATATTTCTAAAAACTGCTTTGGATTTTATTGATTTTGTCTATTCATTCAATTTCATGATTTCTGCTCTAATTTCTATTATAGTTTTTCTTCTGCCTATTTGGAGCTTATTTTCTCTTCTCTTTCTAGTTTCTTAAGGTAGACTCTCAGGTGATTGATTTTAGAACATTATTTTCTAATATATTCATTCACTGCTATAAATTTTCCTCTAAGCATTGCTTTCACTACATCCCACAAATTGTGATAAGTTGTTTAAATGTTTTTGAATCTTTTGAATGCCATGGGATAACGGCACTCTTACTCTGCTATTTTTAGTTCCCTGTGTACTCATTCTCATGTCCTCATACACTAGACCTTAAGAAAATATATTTGCTCTTCTTTTTTTCTTCCCCTGTATATACTCTTCTTTCTTCAGGTTATTTCCCCTTGCCACAATAACTGCTTTCTGATTCCTAGGCCGCTTATCTGAGTGAGCTATGATAGAAGCAGCATCATAGGTATCAGAAAAGCACCTCTGGGCTGGTTCTGGCTTACTCTTTTAACCTTGAAATTATTGGTAATGGTAGACATCCTGAGAGGTAATATTGATGTTACCTCTGGTGGTGGAAGCACCATTTTTGTGGTGGATAATCAGTTTTTACTTTCTTCATCATTTCTAGGTTGTGCAGATTCTGATTGCTCTGATGAGCCTTAGCATGGGAATAACAATGATGTGTATTGCATTTAAGACTTATGGACCTCGCCCCATTACTCTGTATATTGGGTACACAATTTGGGGGTCAGTGATGGTAAGTAGAGTATATTTTGATATAATTGAAGATAACATAAAGTAGTTGTCAATACCCTGATCTTTGGAATCCTAGTCTAACTGTATCTTATAATTCTGTAAATTTGAGAGTGGTGTCTAACCGTTCTTTATTCAATTTTGTCATATTTAAAGTAGTAATAATAATATAGAATTATATTAAAGCTGGGCAGATTAAATATTTACATATGTCAGTTAGATATATTACAGCAGCACATTGCCAAAGACCCAAACCAGAATGGCTTAAACATTGAAAGCACTGATTATTTCACAACAAGATTAGTGGCCTGTCGTTTCTAGGAATGATTCATTCAGTGGAAAAAGGATTTCATACAGGACTGCTAGCAGACCATATCAGAGGGAAACAGTTGACACCATCCCACTTTTGGTAAATATTTTGTAAACATATTCCCAAATCAACTATCAGTAAAAATAACGAACTTGCCATTATTGGCTTGGACTAATCAAGCTCCTCTGTAGCTGGGAGGAGTCTACCCTACCTTTTAGCACAGGAGAAACTGAACAAAATGATGGTTCAGTGAGCAGGAAAAAGAGGAGATGTGGCTGGTACACAAGCAGTTTTTAACATCGAGTCTATTGACTATTGAAACTCAGGAAATTGTTACCTTAAAAAATGAAGTTGTATTTGATACATTTTATTTCATAAGTTCAATAAAATAACTATAATTATTATAATTAATATTAAATTAATTAAAACTGTTATTAAAATTAAAATTAGAATTGGAATTTAAATGTTAAAACCTTCTTACAAGAGAAAACACAAGACGGTTTTTATGCAAATTGAGAGTAAAATACAGAATAAAATACCAAGTTTTATCCACTGATGAGAGAAAAATAAAATTTATAAGTTGGATTTATGTTAGAATCAGGGACTCTATTTTAGCATTACAGGGTTTCCATTTATTTCTGAAAGTGAGAATGAGATATTTTAGAGTTTTATAATAGTGCTTGCTTTTTGCTCCCCTTCAACTGTTTGTATCAGAAGTGCAAGATTGGGAGAACAGATACTTCAGGAAAGTTGCTCAATACTTTATACATCCCAAATTACTAATGCCGATAATAGCTCTTATTAAACTCTTACTATCATGTGGCACTCTACTAAGTGCTTTATATGTACAATTTCATTTCGAACAATTACCGCAAACTTCTGATTGTTCATTATCATCATTTTACGGATGAAGAGAGGTTAAGTAACTTGCCCAAGATCACAACTATTTGGCACAGAAATGAAGGCTCAAATAGTGTCAGTGTATTTTCAGAATTGCATGCATCTAACCACCTAGCTTTCTGCTTTTATTTCCATTTCCAAGATTACATTGAAAACCAGCTTATGTGGTGCAAATCTTCCATACATGTTCAGTAGATTACCAGGAACTGCAGGAGCCATTTTCCACTGAGACATCATGCAGACTCTTGTAGGCATTGCATTAAATGAGCCTTTACTTAATTTGTGAAACCTTTTCTGCGGCCACCTTCCATTATTCTTTCAACCTTTCTTTCCAAACCTCATCTGTAAAGTGCCTCCTTTTTCTCCCTCATACAGTGTAAGTATCAATACCAAGAACCAGACAAGTTTCTCTTGTTTTTGGACTCTTCAGTTCTTTTCAGTTCTATTCCTGTATGTTGCACATTCCTTGTTAAATGTTTTCCTCTGAGATACTATATACATACTTTTTCCTGTGGTAAATGAAGTCCTCTTATTCACTCTTATTCTCAAATACACAAACATAAATATACTCTTACAATATGTATAAATAATTTCTGTATAAAATGTTTTTCCAAGGCAACTTACTGAATTTTTAAAATAGTTTATGGTACTTTTTAGTTCATATTTTTGGATGTTTGCAATATATATTGTTCATACTTTAATAAGAATAGTTGTAACCATTTGTTTCAACTATTTTTCTTATATAATGATTTTGGTTAATTTACCCAGAATAGAATGTATTATATAATAGTCTTATCTTTATCTTGATTTTGACTTTAATGAAATGGTCCTAATTTTCTTTTATCATTGAACACAATAAAGACTTTTAGATTGAAACAGATTTCTATCATGTTACAGAAAGTATAATTCTTTATATTTTACCAGTAAGGTTGAAGTTGCTAATAATGTTGAATTGTATTAAATGTCCTATCCTATCAACACTGCAAACATGAATAGCAATTACCATGTAATTTTTCCTTAAATTCATTAATTGCATAACTTAGAATATTTCAATATTAAAAATGTTTGTAGAGTTGAGGGAGCATCCCAAATGTTCATGATGTATTTTATATTATATGGTGAGTGATTCCCTCTAGTGTTTTTGTTCCAGTAGCGATTTAGATAACATGAATCATCACTATGTCTGGGTACTTGGAAGTTAGTTTAATAAATGTATTGAGCTTTTTTGTTAGTTGAATTTTTTTATATTAAGATATAACTTTTGAATCATCTGAAATCAAATTTGAAAAGCAAATAAAAAAGAATTGAATATTTTAAGGTAGAGAGGCCAACAAACTTGACTAGCTGTTTTAGTTAAATGAAAAATAATTGCCCTACTGCTGGATAAATGAACTAGTGTATTCTAGTCATCATCTAATTGTGAATTTACTTTTTTTTTTGGCTACTGTTTTACTTATAACTTTACAAAATATTCTAAATGAGAATAATTTTAGAGTACTTTTCATTTAAGTATCATCATCACTTTTGGTACCATGTAAGAATTACTTTGCATCAGGAGTTTGGAAACTATCTTTTAGTGTCCTCAAACAGTTTTAATATCATTTCAGTTAGGTGTTATTTGAAAAGCTTGATATACTCTCCCATGGATTTATCTGGTATAATTTCCCTGTTCTTTCTGGGAAAAGAGAAAATAATATGCAAACTTTTGTGGTTTTTTTCTAAGAATATTGGTCTGATTTAACTTATCTATCTAATTTCAAAGTAAGTTATGAGTTCCAATACTTGCTTAAAGTTTTTTACCTTCAGTTTTTCTATCATTCTTAGTTTATTATTTCAGGATCCTTGTCAGTTGCAGCAGGAATTAGAACTACAAAAGGCCTGGTGAGTAATATTTTCTTTTTTTGGTATCAAAAAAAGGAAAGATTAATAAAAAGTGTATTCTGCTAGGGTATAAAACCGGTTTTGTTTCTTTGTTTGTAAAAAATCAGAAGCGATTGTGCATTTTACCTACTAGCATCTATCTTTCAAAAATTGCAATCAGGCTAGTAATATAATTACTGCCATAAGACTGGATATTTTGGCAAGGAAGGGAATCTTGCCCTTGCTGAGGGAATCTGTTTTCAGATATAGAGAATTATTGAGAAGAACTGTCAAGTGGACTACTCAACAAAACCCTGCAGCATGAGAGTCGGCCCATGACAGTGACACCAAGCATTGGTGTGGCATAATATTTACTGACTGATTGATTAAAATGTAGATTCTAACTGTATTTGGGTTTTCAATAAAAGAAATTCACAATAAGGTTATTACATAAGAAGAAGCAAATTTAAAATGTAACTCTCATGCCAAGATACCTTTCATAAAGCCAATAAAATGCAAAAGCCCATATCTCAATAAATATTTTTTTCTAGTTCAAGTTCATATTTGAGTTTTGTTTGTTCAAAAGATAAATATCAAACTCTGGAGCATGATAAATATGGGTTTTTCAAATCTGGCCTCCTGTCTCCTCCAGCTGCAGCCACACTAGGCTCCTCACACTTTGCTGTGCACTTTTAGCTCTTATTGAAAGCCTCCTAACCTTTACCCGTGAGAAGAGAATGTACAGAAAACAATACACTGCTGAGAGAGATAATATACAAAAGATAGAGAGGCATGACAGGCAAACAGCATTTAGAAAAATGATAAGAAATCAGGCATCAGACGCAAGGAATGGCAGGGAAGGACACAGGGCAGTCCCGCTAATGCGCGAAAGACATTGGAAACACTGCTGAAGAGATCTGGAGGTCATCTCCTGTACCCATAGGAATCATCTGAAGAATTTAAGCTGGGGAATAATGGGATCGTATTTATTTTTTGGCAAGAGATTAGAGTTGAAACCACTCTAAGGAGATAAGTTAGAAGACTATTGAAACAATCAAGATAAAGACAGATGGCTGTAGAAATAAATGGTGGGTGCAAAGTGATTCAGGTAGATATATCTGAGGATTCTGTTGGTTGTTTAATTGATTTTCATTCCTTTCTAGGTCCGAGGTAGTCTGGGAATGAATGTCACCAGCTCTGTATTGGCTGTATCAGGGATCTTAATCAACGCATTTAGCTTGTATATTTATTCATTCCATCACCCTTACTGTTACTTCTTTGACAAGCCAAATGATTGTCACGGGACTCTGTCCATTTTGATGGTTAGTGCTGCCTCTTTTCATGGGATATCATCGTAGGAGCAAGTTTGGGGAGTGCTGGCTCTGGCAACAACAATAATTAGTCCCTAATTGCTGAATGACATTGGGAAGTTGGAGTGATTGAGAAATAGAATAATCTTTGATTTAGGAGTTAGGTAGGTGTCTCATCTATGTCTTTCTTCTTCTTCTATATATAATGAGGCACAATGGGAAGAAAGCTTACAGTTACAGAATACCTACTCATTAATAGTTACTGTGCTGGGTACTTTATATAAATTTTTCAATTTAAATTTTAAAACATTGATTCAGTATGTACTATTATCCTCACTGAAAATGGGGCCCAGATGTCAGTCCTCATTCTCTAATAATGAAGCAAAATTGTCTTGAACAGTATTTTACAAATGGTGAGTAACTCAGTAACCTTTTCAGTATCTTTGGGTGTTCTTGCAAGGTTAACCATTTTTATCCTCAACATCTAGCTCCTGGAAAATTCTCAACCTTCATTCTGAATTTTACTACTTTTTGTACCAATTGTTCCTATCTCAATGCTATCCTAATTGCTTTATTCTGAAAATAACATTTATACAATATTTTATAGGTAGTAAAACTTCCTGACATTTTAGGCCATTGGGTAGGTGTGAGGAGGAAGAGTTCTTGCAGCACATCACAGCAGACTAAAATGCACAAATAAATCTTTATTATTAAAAGGTGTCTGCAGGCGTGGTGGCTCATGCCTGTAATCCCAGCACTTTGGGAGGCCAAGGCGGGCCGACCACCCGATGTTAGGAGTTCAGGACCATCCTGGTCAACATGGTGAAACCTGTCTCCACTAAAAATACAAAAATTAGCTGGGCATGGTGGTGCACACCTGTAATCCCAGCTACTCAGGAGGCTAAGGAAGGAGAATCGCTTGAACCTGGGAGGCAGAGGTTGCAGTGAGCTGAGATCGCGTCATTGCACTCCAGCCTGGACAACAGAGAAAGACTCTGTCAAAAAGAAAGAAAGAGAGAGAGAAAGAGAGAGAGAAAGGGAGGAAGGAAGGGAGGAAGGGAAGAAGGGAGGGAAGGAGAAAGAGAGGGAGGGAGAAAGAGAGGGGAAAAGAGAGGGAGAAAGGGAGGAAGGAAAAGCCTATTGGTCATTTTCAACACCAGCAAATTTTCTGTTACTTTCCCTGTATATGAACTTTCAGCCTTTCGCTTTGCTGCTTAGTTCTAATCCTCACTGTGTCCTTCCCTCATGTAAACATGGAAACTCAACATTGTGCCTAACTTACTAAGCAGAATCAACTGCACTCCGTTTACTTCATTCCTAGCTAATTCTTCATAGTTTTATGGGCTATATAGTCACACCAAAATAACCCCTTGAGGTGTCTTTGCTAAACTAATTCAGTTCCCTTGAGATTCCTAAAGTTCTTTATAGTAAGCAGTTTTATTTCTTGCCACTCACTCCAAATAAGAAAAATCTTATTCAGAGAATTTGACAAATTCTTCCAAGGTCACTCAGAAATTGGCAAAAGCAATATTCGATTCTACAGCTTCTTGTTTCGAATTCCCCTCTTATTTGCTACGGTTATCTTGAAGAATAACTTTACTTTTAGTTTATGAAGATCTGTTCATTTGTAGATTTTAAGTGCACAATGATAGAGACAAAATCTGGAATTGGTCAGCTTCATAGGACTGATTTCCTGGGCATGGGACCTGTGCAGTTACTCAGGTCTTCACAGTTGAAAGAGCCCTGTGCTTGATCTAATGCTCTGCTGTTCCTATCTTGAAATTATTTAAAAAAATTTTAAACAAGAGACTACATGACACGTGACTTTTTTTGGAGGCCCAGTCCTGTACCCATTTTTGTAAATAAAGTTTCATAATGTTTAATTGAAATATAAAGAAGTCTACCTGTTTACATACTGTGTAGTGCTGCTTTTGTGTGATAACAGCAGGTTTGAATATGTGTGAGAGAGACGTTAGAGTCTGCAAAACTTAAAATGTACATGATCTGGCCTTCATAGAAAGCTTGCCATCTTCTAGTCTACCCTTCTAGATGTTAAATCTATGAAGACAGGAGAATTGTCTGTTTTGTTTGCTGCTCTATCTTCTGTGCCTACAACAGTGTTTGAAACTGAGAGGCCACTACGTCTGTTGACAGTACCAGAAAATAAATAAGCAATGAATGCACACATTCTCAACGTCTTAAGTCTGCATCACTCATATCCCGAGCTCTTGGTCTATTGGCTCTTCCACAACAGAGGGACTATCCCTAACTATGGAGAGAAAAAAAGAATATTTAAACCAGATAATCCCTGTGTCAATCCAGGGTAAAATTAATAGAAATCAGTGTACTGCCCAATGTTCTCCAAATTTTGACCATCTTTCTTAGCTGAGGACTAGACCTAAAGTCAGTGTTCTTAGGAGATGGAGTAAAGATTGACCTACTTGGTGTTCACTGTTGTGTTAGCTTCTTACTGTTACTATAACAAATTACTGTGAATTTAGTGTTTCCAGACAACACTGTTTGGTTATCTTATATTTCTGGAGGTCAGAAGTTCAAAATGGGTCTCACTAGGCTAAAATCAGAGAGTTGGCAAGCCTGTATGCCTTTCTGAAGGCTTAGGCGATGATAAGTTTTATTGCCTTTTCTGGCTTCTGTAGGCTGCCTACTACGTTTCTTGGTTTGTCATCCCATCCTCTACCTTCAAATCAAGCAATGCAGCATCTTCAGATCTCTCTTGGACTCTACTCTACCTCTTGCTTCCACTTATAAGGATTCTGTCATTATTTTGAATCCACCTGAATAATCAAGGAAAATTCTCTTATCTCAGCTAATAAGCAACTTTGCTTTCATCTGCAAATTTAATGCTTTTTGCTATACAAAAAGAACAATGGTCCCCCAGGGGGGTCTGCATTCTAATCCCCAGAACCTGAGGATTAGATTAGGATTAGCAGACCTCCCTGCGGGACCATTACTCTGCTTACAAGCACTAAGATATGGAATCAAAATATGTTGTCAATGATATGAATTTCTAGTACTCAGTAGGACTAGGATGATAATTGTCTTTATACTGCCTTCCTGACTTTTTAAAGCACTTTCATCTTCCATGCTCACAATAGCACTGGGAAGTACTGAACTAGGGAGTAAATGTCTGTGATTATTTTGTCAGTGAAAAAAGTGAGAAGTTACTTCAGCAGATCAAGAATCGGTCAAGGGTATGGCTGCAATTGGGAGGCAGGTTTCCTGACTCCCGGCCAGTGCTTTTCCTCTTCTGACATTGTGGTTACTGGTAAATGTTTTCACTTGTCATCTCCGTTTCTCACATTTCTTTGGTATGAGTTTTCTTCTAGGGTATGGATGGCTTGGTGCTCCTCTTAAGTGTGCTGGAATTCTGCATTGCTGTGTCCCTCTCTGCCTTTGGATGTAAAGTGATGTGTTGTAACCCCGGTGGGGTGAGTATTGGCCTTCATTTGAAGATGTCTGTATTAGTTTTCTATTGCTGCATAATCAATTACACAAACTTAGAGTCTTAACACAGAACACATTCATTATCTCTGTTTCCATGGGTCAAGAGTCTGGGCAAGCTGAAGTGGGTCCTCAACTCAGGATCTTACAAGGCTGTCATCAGGAAGTTGGCTGGGGCTGTGGCCTTGTCTGAAGCTTCTGATTCTCTTCCATGCTAATGTGGTGGAATTCATTTCCTCTCAGTTGGAGAACTCAGGACAATGTACATTTTCTCTAAGACCAGCAGGAAATTCAGTTGCTGATGCTTTAATCCTTTCATAAAGTGTTCGCATGAACAGGTGAGGTCTATTCAGAATAATCCCTTCTTTGATAAACTGAAAGTCAGGTAGTCAGTACCTACACACAGGACTTGTATCCCATCTTATACACAGGTTCCATTCACACTGGAGGGGAGGGAATCATCAGGGGTAAGTGTCGCCTTAGAACTCTGCCTACACAATAGCTACGTAAGAGCTCTTTTTCCCTTTCCTTTCTCCATTAAAGGGCATAACCTCTGAATCCAGATACAAGAATAATTCACAATGAAGAGGCCCCCAAAACATATTTTATTTTATTCCATTATCCTATTACAACTTTTCCTGGAATAAGGAAGAAATGTCAGGATCTCAGACTTCTCTCTCAGTCTGTGCACACCTGCTCACTCTCTTACCCCAAGACCTGCATTAGATGCTCCTGGCAGCTAAGCCCAAAGAATGTCACAGAGAGAGAGGAAAGTGGGGAATGGAAGGAGAGAAGAGACCAAGAAAGAGGCTCTAGGAAGAACAGGGAGGGACATCCTCCAAGGGTTCAGGGTTTCAGAATGAGGAAATTGATAATGAACCTCAACAGGTTCCCATTAGCTTCATTATCCAAAGGCCCACAGGCAGACAAAACCGATAGCCAAATAATAAAATAATCACAGTGTGATAAGATGGTTCTTCTGTTGCCCTTCTCCATCATTTTGTATCTCTCAGTCTACTTTTGAGATTCCCAGGCAACACCACATCCCACTTCCCCACAGCCCTTCCTCACAGAAGAGAAATTGACTATAGCACATTAACTCTAGCAGTAGGGTTTTGCATTGCAAAACCCAAGATTGAGAGATTCTCAGCAATTACCAATAATTGTGTAATTTCCTTGAGTAAAGCTTTCTGTTTTCATTGAGTAAAACATTTGGACGTGGAGGCAAACTCCTTAGTAACTTTCATGTCATAATATTTAAGCCTGTATTCCTTTCAGCTCTTAGCATAGGAGCTGGGAATGTTGTTTCCTGATCTCCTGGTGTGAATTCAGAAAAGCAGTAGTTTGAGGGCGTATGACGGCTAGCTCTCTATCTCTTCCCGGTTCGTCTGCCAACTCTATGTCAAACTGAGTTTGTGGAAGAACAACTGAACTTTTCTTAGTTTCATGATGATCCCTCCTATTCTGGGCCAGTGTGGTTTTTGCAAATGCTTTATTCATAACCAGCAAATCATGATTTGGGTATGTTGATGTGATCAGCATGAACAACCTGGTTTGGAAGAAGAGCCTCATATTTTTCATGAGACCTTGGTTTACTCAAAATATTGGGCACCACCATCCACACGTAAGATTGATCCAGTTGCAAGACCAGGAAAGTGGTCATCAGCAGCTCAGGTCACGAGCCATCACTGAATGTTGTGCCCTAAATCTGGCCTGATCTAGAGAATGACTGAGAAGCCCCACATGCTTGATCTTGAGAATGAATCAGAGAAGAAAAGAGTAAACTCTAATAATGATGACTTTATGTGAGCAGGAAAGGGGCACTCCAAGGTTATTTGGGTGACTCACGTATGGCATTCTGATTGATTTCACAGGTTATGTTAATTCTGCCACCAAATTCTCACATGGCAGGAACAGCATCTCCTGCTCCACTTAATGAGGTTTGATGCCACCGAAAGAGCAACAGAAAAATGCTCCAGAAAATCTATGCTGACTGTAACACAAGAACCCTACATGAGAAAATACCAGAATCCAACTCTGATACTGATAGACATATTGATATCATTATTATATGTAATCCAATTATACACTGTGTGTGTATATATAGAGAGATAATAAATTCAAAATTATGTTCTCATTTTTTCCCCTGGAACTCAACAACTCATTTCCCTGGCTCTTTATCAGAGTACTAGAAGTTAAATAAATAATGCATTTAATGAGGCAACAGCCCTTGAAAGTTTTTCATTCATTATAAGATCTTTCTATAAAGGCATTACATTGGCAAATAAGATTTGGAAGCAGAAGAGTAAAAAAGGTATGGCTAAAATGAGGCCTGCATGCAAAACACATACTTCTGCTCCCCTGTATAATATTCCTCTCATTTATTTAACTTCGTTTTTCGTCCACCTATGGGGACCAAAGTGCTTTTTCCTTCAGGAAGTAGATATGCTTGGCCTTCTCTTCCTCCCCCCGTAGACAGCACCTTGAAATAGCACAGACTGTCCCTGCATCAGCACAAGCTATCATTTGAGTAAAGGCACTGATGAAATAAAAATCATATTAAGGATCAGATTCATCTTATATTTTCTATATCTTCTTCTTTTCCCTTCTCCCACCTTCTACTGTGCAGACTTATATCTTAACTGAATGTGTATCCTGTGCCATATATGGAATTGTGCAACATATGGTATTTTTAAATACATTTTTCATTGCTGAGCAAAAATAAATACAATTAGAAGCAATACTTTCATGTGCTACCTACTTCCTTTTCTGATGCAAGATGATGGAACGATACTAAGTATTGATGTCAAAAATACAGTATGGTGGTAAATAATGTGGGCTTTCTAATCAGACAACCCTGGGTTTTCATCTTGCCGTCCCATCTTTGTTGTTTACTCCCTATGTAGCTATGAACATGCCGCAGAATTTCTCTGTGCTTCATATTTCTTTTCAGAAAAGTAGTAGTAATATTGTCTGGCCCATAGACCTGTGAGAATTACTTGGTATAAAAAGGTAGAAATACCAGTACTCTGATTGGTACATATGGAGCCTCAAAAGTTTTAATTAATACAAATAAATGTATAAATGTGCATAGATATGTATTATATATTCAATTTATCATTTTATTTGGTATATATTTATAAAGTATCTATAATGAGGCAGATATTGTTTTAAGCATATAAGAAAATGGTGGTAAGACAGACAATATCTTATATATACAAGATAATAGTAGTGGGTAAGAGAACTAATATCCTTCCTCTCTTGTAGGTTAAACTTTCATGGGACAGGACATAGATTAACATATAAACAATTAATCAAAACCCTTTTATATGTTGTTAGAAGCTAACTGGAAGAATTAATGTGCTAGAGAGTGGTTGCTGGCAGTAGTGGCGAGACATGAGTCATTAGAGTGTAAACAGGTAAGTTTTTTTTGAGGAAGTAATATTTTCATTATGATAAGATAAAAATTATTGCATTTTCATAGACATTCCTATTTTCCAACTCCGTATATAATATTTCTATATATCTCATTCTGCCCTACAATCACATATCTATTGTAGTATCCACCCTTTCTCCATGCATGCTTTTCATGGGAATGTGAGGCCTTTCTCTATCAATGTTAGCCTGTCTACTTTCTCCAGCTCCAGAGATGGACGATGTATGGAAAAGTCAATTAAGACATTCTATCTTCTTGGTTGAAGGTTGGAAGGTAATCTAGCAAGAACCACCAAACAGAACTTAATACTACTGCATTTATTTCAGTGTAGATGTTCTGTATCTCTTATTGGACATCAGTAAGAATACATGTAGCCTGCTTTATTACTGGCATATGTGTATGTCTATAAAGGAAGTAGGTTTAAGAGAAAGTCAAATAAGCAGAAATAGCAATAAATGGAAATAAAATGAATCCTTGATTCCATGAAAAGCTAGGTCCTGAAACTTGTTTTAACTCTGACTTTTAATAAATATTTATGGTCTAAACCATTTCAGTTGAGTTTCTTATTAATTAAAGCACATGGTTTTTCCCATTTTCTTTTTCTGTAATTGTTCCTATTCTTTAGCTATTTGCTTTCCCTTTTCTAATTTTTTTTATATTTTATGTTTTTTAATTTTTTATATTTTTCACTTTTATACTCTTTGCATCCATGTATTTCTTGAAATCCTTATGCATGTTTATAATATATATTTTAAAGCCCTTCTCTTTTGTTGTCATTTCTGAAATGTACAGGTTTGTTTTTACTAATTAGTTTTTCTCCTATTTGTTATTGTGATTTTCCTGCTTCTTGGCATATATAATAATGTAGACTAGATGCTGGATATTATGAGTTTTATTTGATTGAGTGCTCAAATTTTTCTTTTTACACAGATATTACTTTATTTCTTGCAGGAGCTTATTAAACTTGAAGACAAATTTGATTTTTTTGAGGCTTTTAAAAAGGCATGATAGGGAGGGTGTATTAGTCCCTTTTCATATTGCTATAAAGAACTACCTGATGCTGGGTAGTTTATTAAAAAAAAGAGGTTTAATTGATTGACAGTTCCACAGGTTCTACAAGAGCCATGGCAGGGGAGGCCTCAGGAAACTTGCAATCACGGTGGAAGGTGAAGGGGAAGCCAGTATGTCTTATGTAGTGGAAGCAGGAGGAAGAGAGAGTGAAGGGGGGAAGTTCTACATACTTTTAAACAACTAGATCTCGTGCGAAGTCACTATTATGTGAATAGCAAAGGGAAAGTCCACCCCCATGATCCAATCACTTCCCAAGAGGTCTGTCCCCAACATTAGGGATTACAATTGAACATGAGACTTGAGTGGGGACACAGAGCCAAATGATATCAGAAGGTTTATAGTTGTTATTAGTTGGGCATATGCTTTAATAATAATTGACTTATTATTAAAGAATTATCTTTCTGGAGTTCTCTCCTGCAAGTACTCATGGAAGTCCCTGCATTCTAGCTGATTGGAACTTGAATGTCTCTCAGCCCTGTGTGAGCCCTGGTAATCATACAGTACAACTACCTGGCTAGTCTTTGACTGTATTTTAAACTTTTATTACATGCATAGGTTTATAAATGCACAGCTTAGTGTTATACAACAAATTTAGGATACTTCCTTACAGATTTCTGGACCTCTGCCTCTGCATAGCTATCCCCTTTATGGTTCTCTTCTCACTAATTATAGTGTCTCAGTGCCCTAAAATTCTGGTTTTTGTCGTCTGAATTTGGCAATATCAGAATGGATCCCTCTCCCTGACCATGGTCTGGAAAGTTTCCTTATGCATAAAACCAGAGCAATTATTATATTCACATTTGTTTTCATTTTTTAATGTTTAAAGTCCTGCACTAGCTGTTGCTCAATGTCAGGAAGCAGTTGTACTTATTTTTTTTCCAGTTTTATTCATGATATAAAAATTTTTTTTGAGACCAGGTCTAACTCTGACACCCAGGTTTGAGTGCAGTGGTGCAATCACAGCTCACTACAGCCTCAAAATACTGGGCTCGAGAGATTCTCCAACTTCAGCCTCCCAAATGCTGGGATTAGAGGCATTAGCCACTGTGGCCAACCCAGTTTTCTAACTAACAATAGAGTGGAAGATTAAGTCTGGTGCTATCATAATTGGAAGAGCTGAGTTTCAACTTTAAAAAGATGCTCACAGACCGGGTGTGGTGGCTCATGCCTGTAATCCCAACACTTTGGAAGGCCGAGGGGGGCGGATCACTTGAGATCAGGAATTCAAGATCAGCCTGGCCAACATGGTGAAACTTTGTCTCTACTAAAAATACAAAAGTTAATTGTGCATGCCTGTAATACCAACTTGGGAGACTGAGAAAGGAGAATCACTTGAACGTGGGAGGCAAGAGCTTGTAGTGAGCCACGATCATGCCACTGCATTCCAGCCTGGGCCACAGAGTGAGACTCCATCTCAAAAAAAAAAAGTTCATGAACACAGATACTAGCATTTTAATTTCATTTTTATATTAAAATTGATTTAAGCATGTCAACATATGCAACTTAATCTAATCAATACTTAAAGTTAAAATATTCAAGCAGAAAATTGAAGTGTTATCATTTTCATATGCTGATACTTTAGTCACCTTGTTTGGGTTTCATAAGAAGCAACTATTAAAAGACACTAGCATATTGCAGTTATTTTATATTTAAATTAATTTGTGATATTTTCCATTGTATTATGTAGTAATATTCAGACAGTTTTAATATAACGGAAAACTTTGTTTTCACACAACATAGAGGAAACATAAGCTATACAAATTCTGGGGAAAATATTTCAATTTTGAATTAATTAAAATATGTCTCTCAGTTTGAATTTTGAGTTTACTGTAGAAAAACACAGAAAAGATGTATAAAGCAACCTCCTTTTGAATGCCTGGTGGATGGAAAAACAAAAAAACAACTAAATTTGAGATACGGTTTAAACAAAACTAAGGATGTATTTGCTTTCCGGTTTGAATTTCTTCAAGATCAGCAATTTGTTTTTGTTTTTGTTTTTTACTGACTAAGGTTTGTTAAGATTGCTACTGCTCATATGATTCCCAGGAACTTAAATACTTCTGAGCAACTGTGTGGGGCTGATAATACTAGACTTTAAAAAATTCATCTTCAATAAGCACACTCTTTCCAACAGAGGAAGCAGTTCAGCAGGTTCTTTGTGGTTCCCCCTCTGGATCTTTTTATCATCAATTTCAGCAAAGGGTGTTTTTTTTTTTTTTTTGGGTAAAAGGTCAAGATAGCTTGTTATACTTTTTCTCAGACTCCAGGTACAGCTTAAACAGATAAACCCTGTAACTTGCTCCCATCTCTTGAATGTATGCTGTCAGCTTGGCCAGGAGGGGCTGGACATCAAAATGAGGAGAGCCATAGTCTAGATGGATGGAGCTCAGGAACCTCACAGTGCTTTATAAGCCAGCTATCATCTAGAGTGGTCCTTTTCCCCTTACACCAGCAGCAAAGTGCTTCAACTCTTATAAATTACTTTCATTAATTGATTTTTTTTTTTTTGAGACAGAGTCTTGCTCTGTCCCCAGGCTGGAGTGCAGTGGTGTGATCTCAGCTCACTGCAACCTCCATCCCTGGGTTGAAATGATTCCCCTGCCTCAGCCTCCCGAGTAGCTGGGACTGCAGGTGCATGCCACCACGCCCAGATAATTTTTGTATTTTTTAGAAGAGATGCGGTTTCAACATGTTGTTGGTCAGGATGATCTCGATCTCTTGTCCTCATAATCCACCTGCCTTGGCCTCCCAAAGTGCTGGGATTACAGGCTTCTGCCACCACGTCCGGCTTGAATTTTTATCTCAAGTTGTTGTTTTCTACTTAGTGTTCTCTTCCATATTTAGAGAATAATGAAAGTATTCCCATTTTACCTCCAACTCTGAAGCCACAGAAACTGTGCCCATAACAAGATCACTAAATGGCCTAAATGACATATATGCATATGTATATACAAAAACACACATATGTATGGAATATATATATATGAATTTGTATATTTTTGAAAATACATTTAAATATATAAATAATTTTAATATGTACAAATGCATATTATTTGAAAATAAATTTAAGTATATAAAGAACTTGTATATTAGATACAAATTTATATATATTTCAAACCAATATATGCATATACTTTTTTTCTTACATTATAAAACTCTGACAGCATCTGCATGTAAGATAAGAGTCCCTCAGGTGTTAAACAATGAGAACACATGGACACAGGGAGGGGAGCACT